TATATATATATACACACACACATATATATATATATATATATATACACAGGTTATTGTTGTGTGGTAAACAGGTGTTTAGGAAACAGCTTTTTAAGAACAATTATCCACAGTAACAGCTACAGAGCTGACGTTATATATATATATATATATATATATATAGTACATATTCTGTTGATAATTGCCAGAAAAAATATTCCTATCAACTGGATGAAGTCTGACCCTCCCACGATCCCTCAGTGGTGACAGTAATTAAAACACATTTACATGATGGAACATATGACCAATTACAGGCGAAAGCACCTGTTTGTTTTTTTTATGAATATCTTGCTTAGGACTCTTATACACTTTTACCATATCCATGTATTATTATTAATTATTTCTATTATTATTATTAAGGTTTTTTAAATATAAAATGTCCCTTTTTTCCTAGTGTACAAAACTTGATGTGTGCTATTCCCTTTACAGTGTGACAGATTAGACCCAATTTCTATTTTACTTTTTTATTTGTATTTATTTTTCTTTTATGTATTAACATTTTATTAAATAAGAAAAACCTGAAAGCAGGTGAGGTCTACCTGATGATGGCGCTTCCTCCCGTTAGACCCAGAGACCTCAGAGTTGCTTTCTTTAGGGCCTCCTCCCCACTGACCTACACACACACACACACACACACACACACAAAGAGACACACACAGAGACACACACACACACACACACACACACACACACACACACACGCAAAGAGACACACACAGACAGGAACACACACAGACACACGCACACACACAGACACACACCAATGAGCAGCTGTGCGGTTATAAACCTGCTTTCATCTCCTCAGAAAGCGAGAGTTTAATACCTCGTCTCTCATATAAACGCAGACGGGAGTCGATCCTTCCCGGGAGAGCTGCGGCCCACTGCGGAGAGACAGACCAACGGGGTTAAGGCGGATATCCAACCCTGCCCACATCCAAGTCGGCCATTTTGATTAGGTCACCAATAGGAAGATCCCAGGCAAGAAAATCCTAATTACTTCATGGCAATATAGACATTCATTTAAAAATAGTGAAATGAATCTTGCAAACACTGAATTAAACTCTATACATAATATTATGTTAAAATAGTGGATGTTAAATAGGTTTGTACAATAAGTCCAAACAAGTTTAACCAAAAAATATTTATTTATCACAATTATGAAGGCTGGAGGGTTTGGGTTAGGGTCAGGTTTAGGACATCGTTTGTCTTCCGATTTCGTATAGACAGTAAAGTTTCGTTTCCATCTCAGAAAGCGGCTAGTCACATGACCTAATAAAAATGGCCGACTTGGATGTGGGAGGAGTTGGATATCCAACCGAGGCTTCTACAGGCTGCAGCCAGAGGCTGCTCCTCTGCTCTGGTCTGCATGTGTGAGCCACGTGGAAACTAATTGAGCCGTAAAAGTTTTCCTGTTGTTCTGGAAATCAAAGCTTCTCGCCGACCCGTTTGGGGGAA